AAGCTATTATCCTGAGTTGCCAAAGCCTGAGAGTGTATTCCAATAGCTGTGCCATAGAGCTCCATTGTTGTACAAAAACAGTGAGTCACACTGGCTGACATGCTGTCTTGATGGAAAAACTCACTAGCACACCAAATCTGTGGCTGAAGAATGACCCCAACAAATGCACGTTTACTCTTATTTTCTCTATTTACTGAACTTATAACCTTTAAAAAATGACAGTATGTATTGTGTGTGTGACGTTTTTTTTAAAATATGTATGTCTTCAGTAAGAAGCAATGGGCTGGGGGATGACAGCCAAAGGGAGGCTGGGGAATCAGAAAATAAATGGTCTAACACATTGTTGGTTCTGGTATTTTCATAGACTTTGTTAAACATAGAATATCACCAGTAACTCTTGTCACTAAGTGAATTTATCAAATGTGAAATTATTAATTACATGATATTCATGTATATTCAAATGACTGTTTTGGTAATTATGAAAATGTTCAAATGTTCAAATGTTCAAAAACATGTTCAAACCCACTCATGAAAAAGAGTGTATCTTCAAAGGACGAAGAATTGCCTCTCTTCTGTTTAAACGAAAGGCATGTGAAATCCCACACAAGTTTAAGATGTCAGTATTTTCAAAATTCCTGATCTTCTACTTCTAAAAGGCAAGATGCCTCTCTGAGCAGACCTACTAAATCAATTATGGGGTCGTCCAATTAAGCCACATGTCAATAACTCATCCCAATTAAGGTACAGAGCAGAAATCAAGCATTCACTGAGTCCAGGCCGGTCTGCTTCCTATTGATTCTGTGCTAATGCCAGGCATTTGTCCAAGGCTGGTGTACTTCCACAGTGTCTGTCAGTCAACAAGTGCTGTAATCAAGTGTCCAGATAAAGCGAGTAACAAGCCAAAACCATCAGAATCCATTACTGACTACTATGTGTGACATGAAGATTGATCACTGCCACACAAATTAGAGTTATCACCGAGAGAGATGGGCGGACAATTCCCATACTATATGAATTGCATTTTGTTGTGCTTCTTTTCTTATGTTAGTGAAGGATAGGAAACAATAGCACGCTCAATTGGTTCAGTCTGCTTTTTTTGATAAACTTTATGTTACAGTTGTTGTTCTCAAAGGCAAATGGACTGGAAAATCTCATGGGATTGGTGAATTTTTTAATAGAAATCTGGGAGGTTTACTTTATCTCTCTTTCTTTACACAGATTTGAGATACTTTAAGATCAGACCAGCCAATCAAAATAACAAATACAAAGAATATGCTACACTTTTCCCAGCTGAAACATTTACAGTATATATTATAAACTACTAATAATCTAGTCACGTAAGCAGATGTCTCAAAATCAGTACTGTAACTTCTATAGAGAACGCAAAGATCAGGGTTTTTTTTAAGACTAATATTGTTAAGAATCGGTATTTTCCGCTATAGTTGCTTGCATGCTGTTTGGTGCTGTAGCTTACAGTTGGTTGTCCCAGAGTGGTTTTAGTTTAGGGGTTTAATTTGGGTTAAGTAAGCACATCTATCCCAACAAATTTGACTAAATGGTTGAACCATGATTTTTGTGCCCATATCATCCAACCATATCCAACACCCTCCCTAGCGTCATGTTCTTACTGTCAATAGTTCCTATGGCCCCCGGAGAGCTATCTATGGCAGGTTGACATTATTTTGCTATTCCAGCTAGCCTGCTCCTCGTCCTGTTTGACATATTTTGTTCCTTTGTCACCTCTGCAACAACATATTTTTTATACTTTTGCCTCTAGCAGTATGACTTACACAAGTACTTGACAGCACTAGTGCAGTGGCTCAATTATAGGAATACCACGCTGGGGAGTTTTCTTTTTTTCGCCCCCTCCTCACTCAAACTGGAGTGGAACCAGCAGATTTTGACGGATTAGCCTCATTATACTCTTCATATTGACTTCTATTAAAAAACCCCAGACAGACACTCACATTATGATCTATGATGAAGACATCTTTAGGAACAAAAAGACAGTGTGTATTTCCTTCTTTCTGTTACATAGTGTCTGTCTGATGGTGATATTTTTAACTTAGAACAAGCTCTTTGATTGTTATTCCTCTACTTAGTACCATAGAATATTTAGATATCGTTACTAATGCTATTCCAAAATCTATTTGCATTAATCAGGATTTTAAAAAAGATTGCATGGCACTCATTGCACATGGGGCACTGCAAGCAAACACCACACAAACACACACACACACACACACACACACACACACACACACACACACACACACACACACAAAACACACACAAACACTGAAATAAACACTATGAAACAGGCAAATATGCATTAATCAAATGTGTTCTTGCACACAGAGCATGAAATGCCAAAAGATGTGAGAAAAAAGTGAAGTATTGTAATGAAAGCCCGCGCAACCATTTATGTTTGAGCTAAACTCTCATTATTTTGAACAAAGGCAGGGAAAATTGACCATTCTGCCTGTATTTATGGGACATCCATCATTCATAAATTAGATAACCTTTTACTTCCTGCATTTCTATTGCTCAAGTGTGTAAAGCGCTGCAGCCAGAGTCATAGTTTTTATCAGAAATGTTTCTGCTCAATTGGAAACACTGGAAATCTAATTCAGCATAAGCTTCTAATCTTCTAAAATTCAATATTATGGGAAAAATGAGTTAATGCCTGCCTTCGTATTGTGGAAACAATAAGTGGGGAAACTGATTTTAACTTAAAAAAAAGTACCCTGCCTTGGTCTGATAAGTGAGATCATCACTAATCCTAATTGTGTCAAAGGCAGGATTTACCACTTCATTTTCTATACAAGCACCGGGGCATCGCACCATAGTGTGGTTTGCAATAAATCTCATGTGAGTATCGCAAGGCTTGGGTAATTTTGCAGTGTGCACAAAAGCATGGAGGCATGTACCTTTTCTTCAGGAAATAATTGGCTGTAGATGTCTGTAAATATACATGGTTTAAATCATAACCCCTGCTTATCAGCTGCTTGCCAGTCCTGCACTGTGTGAGAGGGAGGGGGAGCAAAGCAAAAGTCCTCTTTCACATTCAGAATTCTAAAATTTTATATTAAACCAAGCCAGTTTAAAGGATAAATCCTGGCAATATTAAGCCAATTTTCCAAAGAGTACTTTCCATATCCAAAACTTCTAAAACTGTGAAAAAATGTTGCTTGCATTTCAAATGGCCATGTGCTTTCAGCTCCCAGTGATATCAAAAGCACATTTCCCAGGTGGCAACAAAGTGCAGTAATCCCTGGTGGAGATGTTTCCATCCATGTATTATTTCAATTTTGTAATCCTGTATTACCGACCAAGCAATGGCAAGAAGGACTCATTTTGTCTTCAGACCCCTAATTATTCTCTCAACCATGTAAAAACTGTAGTACTTGGAACCAAGAGCAAATTTTACAAACAGGAAAATGATGTTTAGTCTTTGCACTATTGGTTCCATCTGTTTTCTGCTTTTTTCCAAACTACAGTACATAAACATGATAATGGTGTACAAAAACCTGTCAATCAGCAATAAGTACAGTGAGATATGGTTTAATATGTTCCTATAATTTTCACATACAGTATGTAAATGGGCTGTGTACATGTTTACTGTAATGCTGTCAAAACACATCAAGTCTTCATGATGTCACCATTGTCCATTTGGATGTAAATATCTGCACACAGTAAGCCTTGCATAAAGCCATCCTATTGAAAATGAAGAAGAGAACAATGTTTTGTTTTTATTGAATATAAATCATAGACAAAACCATTTGCATCAGTGCTTTCCAATGCAACAGTAATGATGACCCCAGAGATTAGACTTGGTTTTCTTTGCAATGGGAAATAAAAGTGCTGTGGTTATTCTAGGTTGATCTAGGGAACAGCAGTTGAGAAAACAGCCTCACCAGAGGTGTCCTGTTCTGCAGTATTCAGTCATATCACATGATCTTCATCAGCAGATGGAGTTTGCCCAGTTTTAATGGAATTGTCCATGTTTTTTTCTGAGCAGTGTAAGGATTTCTTGTCTATGTTGGCTTGGAAGTGTAGGTTTTTGACCTAAGATACATTTTGATCAGTTTGAATGGTTTAAGATCATATAATGATCATATAAACAACTCGGCACCCTGGCTCTGCCTAATGGGAGTTTGTATTAGCTTCAGTTTTTATAATTCAGATGAACTGACATCGAATAAATAAATACATTTTAAAAATCCTATCCTATTGAAAGAATATTTTACTTACATAAGTCTTCTTTTGGGATTTTAAATTGGTTTGAGTTGAATAAATATTTGTCTATTTTCACTATAGGGTATAAAAGAATCACTTGAGTGGGGTGATTTGGGTGGTTGTGTTACTGTTACAAGAAATTCAAGATGCAAAATATGGATTATAAAAAAGTGAGTACATTGCCTCTTCAATTGTTTTGAAAAATTGATTTTCTACTAAATAAAAGCACGTTTTGAATATGTTGTGAATATTAATATGGATACTTTTTTGCAGTACATGAAAGTGAATGGATATACATGAAATCCTGTGCGTCCTCTGAGGGACTTGTGGGTGCGCTCCGAGGGTGCACACTGCAAAAAATATTCATCCCGCAGGTCATTTAGTCAAGTATTGAGTGTGAAAGTGCTATTTTTGTTCTTTGGAGGTGAAAACATCCTATAATATGTTAACATAATGTCTCTTTCTCCTATCCTCCCCCTTTTTCTTTTTAAAGAAATGTTTTTGTCAACATGCCATTTATTCTATGAGCGATCTGCTCTATTCTACCTTGTTGCACTTATTTGCAGACATTTCTTTAAAGAACAAAAATCACCCTACAAACAAGCAACATCGTCGTACAAATAATCTCATTGGAGGAAAAAAAAAATCTGATTTTTTTTTTTTTTAGGCGAAAAAGAGGAGAGAAAATAGATAAATTGACAATGAGGCTCAACAGCTTTCCAAGACGGGCACATTTTTTGCAGTGCGGCTAATGCTGAAGTCATTCTCCGTCTCATACAACAGCAGCCAAGGACACGAGAGCATCAGCAGAGAGAGGGAAAAGAGGAGAGAGAAAGGTGCCTCCTCTCGCCATTGCGTTAATTGTCTCTCTGTTGTATCGGTGCTGGTTGTAAATGCTGCTCTAACAGGAGGCGATAGGAGTGGAGGAGAAGCGGGGAATTTAACTTCACACACGGACAAACCTATGCTTGGATTTCGGCTCTTTTTCCCTTCGCCAATGAAAAAGGAAATATGCAGCGAAGCTTCACCATCCTCTACACCAGTTTACTGGGGATGTGCTTGGGTTCAAGCTCAAGTTTTCCAAGTAACATCAATATAGGTGAGAATGGCGCACACGCATCACACCTTAAACCTTCATTTCAACTTTACCTCATATCTCTTCTCAATTTGTGTGTTTTCCCTAATTCATCCAAAATGTTGCCAACATTAACTCCTGGTCCTTTGCTGCTCAACAGGAGGATTGTTCCCAACCGAATCGCACGAATATGAGGTTTTTCGTTTCGCCCTTTCTCACCACCAGGACATCCCCAAACTGGTGCCGCAGGTGGATATGGTCAAGATGGGGAATAGCTTCTCCATGACATATGCCTGTAAGTATTATCTCACTGGAAGCAGATTACATTTGGTGGAAATTTCCATATTCTGCCTGTTCAGCCGGTTCTTCCATCCCCTCAATCTGTTTATTGACTTCGTAAAGAGGGAAGAACTCCACGGATCTAACGCCTGCGCAGGCTATAATTGCATATATCATAGGCCTACTGCAAATACTCGTGTTAGTATCTTAACTGTTGCGTGGGACTGCAAAGGACTTATTTTCCCTGCTTTCCTCGGTATGATTGCATCGGGATATTGCGCTCCGGGGAAGCCACGGGGATTTTAAATAAACCTCCGCAGCAGCAGTCGAGGTCCTACAGTCATATAACATCAGGTGTTACAGCTATATGAATTTTAAAACGGCTGCCACTGATCCCTATGCGCTTTTCCTTAAACCGAAGTAAAAACAAAGAGCCAGAGCGCAGATCAGGGCTCTCAGGCAATGTGAACAAAGAGGACAAGCGACTCTAAATGCATTTCTAATTAGCCACGGATCACAATCCGATTATTCTTTTCTGGCAGAACACACACTATTAAACCCTCCCTCCTTAAAACCTTTACCAAGACATGCGCACACGCACGCACAATACATAGGCTATTTCAACTTTTAGGACTTTAGGATGCGTGATCTTTCTGATCTGATCTTCATTAGTATAGCCCATATATAAATTTACAAAGGACAAAGCTGATAGTATATTTTATTAATTTATGTAAGGGAATTCAATTTAGAAAATTGCGTATCAGCAATGGGAATCAATATTTTTAGTCAACAAGGAAGTTTAAAAAAACATAATTCTGAGTCCTTGGTCAGAGCAGTGGGGATGCTATTCTCCTGTGGATGATAATGTGTGCCATTATGCCAGCCAAACAATTACTCCATGTCTGAGTCTAACAAAAGAAATGCCAGTCTAAATTCTTTCTTCTTTGTTAACCCCGCAGTTATCCGTCCTTTGTGTTCTGACAAGATTTTGTCGCCTTTAAGACTTTTATACTGCGTTTTTCTTATTTCATCCTTGAATCCTCTGAATATGCCTGTGGCTCACTCACGTTCACTATAGTGAAGGCGCACACTTCCAGGAGATACCCTTTGACAACTATGCCTTCCTGTCTCCAGCCAGGTGTGTGACATTGCCTCAGTGACAGACATTTGATTACTTCTTTCAGACACTGTATGTTGCATTTCCACTTTGAAACCCGTCTGGAATTTAAAAATCTGTCTTTATTCCATTTCCACTGGCTTGGGTGCAGTCACAGTTATTAATCGAAGCTCACAGAATCAACAGTGGAAGAAGTGGAAAAAAACATGATGCAGTAAATATATAAAAAATACATGCATAATAAAATTCTGACTCAGTGTGAAAGAAAATCTTAGGAACTGACTCTTTGTAACCTTTACATTTTGTGGTTCATTATGTTGAATAGCCACAGACCAGGGTCGAGGGTATTAAAATGTTCTCTGAGATATGTACTAAATACTGACACCACCAGCCCCATTCCACTTGTACCCTTGTTAATTAGTGTATGGTTCTGTATAAAAGAATATATAAGCAAACCTATTAACAAAGCTTAAAGTAATTAAGCCCCAATAATAAGAAAATCTCAATATAATGGCTAGATAAAAATTAACATTGGCAAATAAATTGACAAATTCAAATTTGAACTTTTCACAAATACATGGCAGCTTCTATCATTCATTCATTCATGCATTCATACACTGTAGCCTTATACGGTGTATGACTTCAGTATGGTGTGCTTGCTGCTCCATGGGGGAGCTTGCAGTAGCATCCAGGAGTTCACACCATGTTTGGTGTCGTGGAGCTGGAACCTGTGCCGTGACTGTACAGGAGGTAGGTTGCTTGAGTTCCTCTTCACCAGCAGCAAGGATAATTCTTTGGTTGTCATTGCTGGCCCTTGTGACCACCTACCTGGAGCTGACAGCCCGACAAGTCTCTTGCTTTAAGATTTGTCATCCGTGGGATTGTTCTTTCTATCCACGTAGTGCCATACTTCACAGCCCATTCTCATTCTGCGGTTGTCAAATACAGCAATGTTGTTCACTAAGTTCCAATTTGCAGCTTCACCGCTAGATGCCACTACATCCTTCAAGGGTTTCCTTAAGAAAAAAATCCTCTGTAATTGGACGTCTGTGGTCTATTGTTCATCTATTGTAGGATAACATGTTCAATGAGCTGTGCCAGTTCTAGCTAAATGTGGATTCACTGAAGTCTGGTTGGCTGCAATTCATCTAAAGGTTACTACTGGTAGATCTGGCATCTTCAGGAAGGTGGCTAAGGACATATTTCTCACCATTGTCCTAATTTGAAGCCTCCATTTCTAGGCTTCACTATTAGGGCTTTAGCCTTCTTCTGAACCAAAACGCTAGAGACAATTGCCCATATAAAAGGATTTTCCCACCACCTCACAAATATCTTCCATTCGCCTGTGATCACAAATGTGCTTTTGCAATGCATATGTTGCACAAAATGGGCTGTCAATCATACACTGGGTGGACTTTACTTCTGGACATCTCATTGCTAGAGATGGCCGCCTTGTGTTCACAAAACCGAAGAAACATGAGAGGATCTGTGCGGGTCCTGGTAAGAGCGTGGTGTACATGCATGTCCCTGGTGCTGGAATTAGCAGTTGAATACTACTCTGTTCTTGTTAGTGTGTTGCGTCGTATGGTGCGGTGTATACCAGGCTTCCATGGACTGCTTCATCTCTTCAGGCTGCAACTTAACAATGTAACCTGAGTTTTCCAGCTTCCTAATATCTGGCCTGTATGCCTCAGCTTGGATGGGATTTTTGACCAACCTCCTTTCCTTACTTCTGAGAAGAGCGGTGTGGCATAACAGGATAACAGCTCTAGCAGTGAAAGTTCCTTTAACAATTGATGTATCTTTACTAATGTATTTGTGGAGGACTAACTCTTCGGGTTCGCCTCCCAAGCCAAGTTGGGAGTTTGCACTGTGTAACAGAATTGTCTGCTCAGACCCTAAGTCTAACACACTATATGCCTTCTGGTCCTCATTATTCAGTAGAATATGTGCAATCTTGAGCAAAACCTTCCATTTATCTAAGGTCAAGCCTACATAGAGAGTCTCCTCAATTGTATTTCCAAGACACAAATTAGCAGTGGTGTCTATCTCTGGTGGCTTAACTTTCACTGTTTTCATTGTCTTGTCTGATGACTTTGACCACAGCGTCTGCACTGGTCATTGTACTTAATCCACATCCAATTCCCTTCCCAGACCTTACAGTTAATGCCTGGGTTCCTAGAACTAAAGATTGCATGTGACTCAGTGGCACCTCACTGGGAGGGTACAATGCTGCTATTGACCATCCACCTTAATTGCAGGTCGGTCAACCTTTTCTTCCCCCAACTTAGCCCTCTATGATGTGTGGATCTATGACTCGCCGTCTTTGGTTCTATTTCAGACAAGAAATAGCAAATGCTCTGTTGTACGGCACAGTTCCACAATCTCATCATCTCATCATTGCTCTTTTAAAAGTAATCTGTCGCTCGCTAATCAGCTGTTGGTTGGCTTGACAACGATGACAACTCAATGCTATATAGACTAATTTTCTCTTTGAACTTCCTTAGTGGCATACAGCTGATCCACCACTGTCTAGCATGGAGGGCTCAAACGTTTGCTAATGGAAGCACTGGAAATTTAAGGGTCATCTGATCATCTCATCATATGATTCACTGACATTCACGATGGGTAGTGTATGATATATATGATCCCTAAGGCTCTGGACATTATGCCCTTGATGGACTGTAGGCTCCTCTGCAGGCTCATCTTGATTATACTGATTACTAGAAAATATATTCACTGTGGAAATCTTACATGAAGGACCATTAGAAAGAAAGTCTTACAAACTGAATCGCTATAGCCTTTACATTTTATGGTTCAGTATGTTGAATAGGCACAGATTGCTGGTCAGGGATGAGACATTACTGTAAATGACTCTGTTTTCTAGGATATGTATTAAATACTGTTACCGCACTATCCAACACACACTTGTTAGTTATGGTTCTATACAAAAGAACACATAAGAACAGCTGTGCACCAAGCATATACAGCCTAAAGTAAACAAATATTAACAAATAAGCAAATCTATCACTTTTTTAATAATAATGTAATTTTAAAGTGGTTGTCACAGATCTTATGAAATTCACTTATGAGCTTAGAATTGGATTTGAAATAAAGCAACAGGACTCAGGCAGATTTATAGACATTCAGTGCTGGCTGCCAAATGTTGAACACAATCACTAAAAGGAAATTTACTCCGGCCTGTCGGAGTATAGTGCAGATATCCATGCACTTCCATATTAATTAGTAAAATTCTCCTACCTGTCCATATGAAGTTTATCCTGTGCAGAGTTGTCTTAACAGCGTGTATAATTTTGCAGAGGTGCCTTTAAAAACATTCGGGCAGCAGAAAACATTTAGAAACCTGGACAGTCCCCAGGCAATCCTCCCTTCATCCCCCACCCCCAAGCCATTTAGGCCAGGGAGCCAGGCAGAGCAGTGTAATGAAATGTAAACACACCCAAGATGCCCTCATTAATGAGATGGTCCTATGCTCAGAAGGGAATGTGATGTGAATATGAGGGTCAGGCTGCTGCTGAACATTTCCAGCGATGTCGCTAGTGGATCAAATATGGTGCCTGTAGCAACGGAGAGTGAGGGGGAGAGGAAAGGGGGTACAATAATGTCTTAGTTACAGCATATACCCTGTGGAAAGACAGCAGCATACACACAGGAGGCAGTTAAAGAACGGTTTGGCGATTTTGACTCAAATTGCGAGTGTTTTTTTTATTCAGTTCAAAATTCAAATTTTTTGCCAAAGAAATACTTTACTACTACCAATGTTAATACTAATTCCAAGATTACATTCTCTGTTCTGAAAGATTTCAGGGAACTACTTAAACTGATTATTTTATCAAGGATCACTGCCAATATCGAGGTTTTACCTTACCCGAGCTTAA